CTTTTGGCAACATAACAGCACTTATCTGACTAGTTGACCTTTTCCTAAATTATCTTGCATTAATTTAAGATAATAGGTCAGCCTAAGAATCAATAAAAATTGTTTGGCAAATGATTTAATCATTTGGCTACAATCTTTTATAAAGAAGGTCAAAGATATCTTTGACTTTATTTTTCTTCCTGTCCTATGAGTATAATGCTATTAGTTATGGTTAATTGCTCTGCCTTGGAATATTATGATACACTTTGTATTTTCATGTATGGTTCTTTCATAGTCTCACAACCATTCTTTTGTCAAACAAACATTGATTAAATACCCACTATGTGAAAGACGTATATCTAGCTCTCTCCTTCCTTTTGCCTCCTAAATATCCAGCATATTATGACCTCCCCAACAAATCTGCTCCATTCATAACTCAAGACCGCAACTCTCAAGATCCAAATGCTCAGATCAAAATTTTAGTATCAACCTCGACTTCACTGCTTAGAAATCATGTTAGCTGTATCTTTGAAATGCAGTCATGTATTACTTTATGACGAGGACAAGTTCTTATGTGTTATGAGGTGATTTTGTTGTGTGAACATTGTAGACCATAGAACAAGCATAGACAGTGTTGCCTACTACGAATGTATGGAGTCTATCTCTCCAAGGCTACAAAACCTTCCCTGTCTCTGTGCTGGTTACTGTAAGCACATGGAGCACAGTGGTAAGTAACATTACCTTAATGTGCCTCCTCAGGTTTGTTTACACCAGCGTCTCCACAAAGACACGAGTAGCGTATTGCACTATGATGTGAAGATGGCCACGACATCACTAGGTGATAGTAAATTCTCAGCTGAGAATCTTTTTGTATATGTGGTTGGCTCATCACTGACAGGAAAGTGGTTATGTGGCACACGAGTGAACACTCAGAATCTGACCATTGCACACTAGGCACTTTTCTTAGCCTCATCATCTCTGTATTGATTAATACAATAACCTCTGAAGGAGTCTCCCTTCATCAGCCCTAAAATACCCTCTGTCTGCTCCCACTGTGCAAGCATAAGTGTTAAAATGTACATAAAATCATATCATTCTTTTGCACAAGACTTTCTTTCTTCTTCTTCTTCTTCTTCTTTTTTTTTTTTGTACTGGGGATCGAACTTTGGACCTTGTGCTTTCAGGGCAGGCAGTGGCACCACTGAACTAAATCCCCAGGCCAGCTCTTCACAAAACTTTCTAAAGATTCCCCTTTCACTCAGCCAAAGCCAAAGTTCTCACAGGGTTGATATAACCTTCTCCCTTCTCTCTAGCCTCACTGTTCATTGCTTTTTTCTTCATCTACTCTAATTGCACGGAATTCATTGCTGATCCTATAATCCTGCTGGACAGTCCTGCCTCAGGGCCTTTGCACTGGTTCTCTTCTCTATTTGCATTCTTCTCCACTCATGTGGTTTGCTTCCTGATTTCCTTCATGTCTCTACTCAGATCATACTTTCTCCATAGGCCTTCCCTGACTACCGTACTTACAACTAATGCCATTACATCACCCACTTCCAGAATTTTGTACTTCCCTCTCCTACTTCATTTTTCCCCACAGCGCCTCTATCTACATTAATCCACAAAGGCTAGGTTACTCTGTGATAAACAACCTCAGGGTTCAGCATGCAACCACTAAAAATGAATTTCTCACTCATCCAGAGCCTACTGCAGGACCAGTTGCTCTCTACACTGCCACCTCCCAGCAGTGACCAGGGATGCAGGATGTTTCCAAATGTGATTTGCCCATTTTGACACATGCCTTCCACTGCCCGAAGCAGAAGAGAATTAGAGGGTAGGGACCAGCTCCCAAGTACTTTGGACCGACACTAACATGTGTCATTTCCACTCAGAGCCCACTGTCCAAAGCTGGTCATGAGGTCCCACACAAGTGCAAGGCTAGGACATGTGGGAAAGCTTTGGTACTAAATTATCCAACATTCTATGTATGTTGCTTATTTCCTGTCTCTCCCTCTCCATCAGGGAACTCCCAGGATGACAGGAATTTTAGGCTAGTTTTGTTCATTGCTATATTCCTGAGACCTAGAATAGTTCCTAGTATACTCATCAGAATATCTGTGGGATGGATGGATGGATGGATGGATGGACAGACAGCTGGACAGATGGATGGATGGATGATGGGCTCACAACCCGTGGGAACAGATAACAAACTCAACAGCCATATGATGGAGGTAGGCCAGTAAGGGGGAGAAGTGCTCAGCTCCTTAGAGATGCAAGGAAGGCTTCTCAGAGAGGAGATATTGGGATGGATTCTTGAATCAGAAGAGGCAAGGGACAAAGGGGCCCAGACGCGTAAGTAGCTCTGCCCATGAAGAGGAGGTCCAGGCCCCACGCTATAAGATGGAAATATAGAGACAATGGGGGAGGTCCAAGAAGTTGGCAGGTCCCAGGCTGTGCATAGCCTTGTAAATGTCACCAAGAAGCCTGCACTTCATCTTATGAAAAACAGGAACCTCACGAAGGACTTCTAGCAGGGGAATAACTGTGATTGCATTTGGGCAAAGATCCTGGAGACACTTCCAAGGCAATGAAGAGAGACATTCTCCTCTTTATACCTCCTTTCTGTTCCCCAGCAACCTTGGCATGGGTCCCACAGCCTAAGAAGAGCCTAACCTTTCCTGTCCAGCCCACGCCTCTCTGCAGCCTCATTTCCCTGGCTTCCCACAACAGCTCGCGTTACTAGCACACCGGTTTGCACCAGATCCTGAACACAGCACAGGCTACCAGGCCTCCACACCTGGGAAACTTAGTGATGTTTTTGGGTCTGTCTGTTTGTTTCTCTCAGTGGTCTTGTTCCCATTCCCAGCAGTCCTGCCTCCAGGTCTGGTGAGATCAGTGTAACAGATCAGCATCTGTACTTTTCTTTCCCCTCCGTGAGAATAATCACATCGTTCAGAACTTGGCATACTGGTGTGTGCGCTGACAAGTGCCCACGATCATACCAAAGACAGAAGGCTATGCCTTGTGGATCTCACCCTAAAATAACAGCAGTGGGTAGCTTTTAAAGGTACTGCTATTCCTATCATTTATGGGCATTTAGTAAAGAAATATTGCTCTGAGGAGCACTTCCTACAATGCATGTGGCAGGATACTCCTTGTCACTTCTCTTGTCCTTTATTTCTACCCTCCCCCATCTCCATTCCAAAAAAAAAAAAAAAAACAAAACCGGGAGAGAGCCTTATGGTAAAAACAATTTTTAAAAGATCTATTAGCAAAATAGCATATGACGGCTGTGGTACAACCAATATTAGTAAGAGAAAGATGTTTTACATGAATGTTTATTCAAAACATCTGAACTCCTCTCCAGCTCCTCTGAGAGGCGTATTAGCTGGGTTTGATGAGCTTGGATCCAGGGAGGGAAGAAGGATAAGAAAAGTTCAGAGAAATCTGTGTGTGCTGAGGGTTGGGGGATGCTTGCTTGGGAAGGAGACCAAGATGGAAGCCTGGCTGGGACATTAGTGAAGGACTCCAGGTGACTGGATGGGAAAATAAAATGTTTCTTAATATCTAGAGTGAACTGTTCAATATAGTAGCTTATAGCCACACGTGGCCATTACAGACTTGAAATGTGGCTTGCCCGAATTGAAATACGTTATCCATATAAAATATACATCAGATTCTCTAGGCTTAATATGAAAGAATGTATATGAGCTGGATGTGGTGGCGCACGCCTGTAATCTCAGCATACACGAGGCTGAAGCAGGAGGGCTGTGAGTTCTAGGCCAGCCTTGGTTACTCAGTGAACTGAAGATCAGCTGGACTATGTAGTGAGACCTTGTCTGAAGAAAAACAAAAGTATGTATCTCATCAAAAAGAGCTTTCTATATGAATTACATGTGGAAATGGTGTCTTACATACATTGGGTTAAATAGATTATATTATTAAAATGAAGTTCACACGTTGCCTTCCATTTTGACAATGTGGCTACTGGAAAGCTTTATGTATGTGGCTGGTATTATACTTCTCCTGCACAGCACTGCTCTAAGCTGTGTGCAGGTGAGCAACGGTTACCAGTAAGATTTGATGCCCTACAGACACAAAGGCACAGAATATGGTGTGGCTGGCCCCTAAAGGGGTTTTGTTTTTTACATTTGTCAATGTAGCGTCTTTAAGAAGGTCACATTCATATTAAACTCTGGCTTCACGGAATAAATTTTCCAGAGGTTGAGATGAAAGTATTTCAGGAGCATCTATAACTGCACTGAAAGGTAGACATTCTCAATTTCATTTCAGAGAAATAGATTTAATATAAATTTTGTCTTATCCGTCTTTTGTTAGGCAGGGCTGAAATTTTAGACACTGTAGAAAAATTCATTCAAGAGACATCAAATGCACCAGGAAAATAGGTTTTTAGAATGACAGAGTTTCTAATTGTTCAATTCTGTTTGTTTGTTTGAGACAGAGTCTTGCTACATACTTTAGACTAGCCTTGAACTCATTATATAGCCTAGGCTGGCCTCAACTCCCAGTGCTCCTCCTGCCTCAGCCTCCGGAGTACTGGGATTATAGGTGTGTGCCACCATGCTAGGCCCAGTTCTAAATTTTTCTAATTTTTTTCTACCTTTGTTTTTAATTTTTTTCCCATTTAGTGCTTAGAAAACAGTAAAGGGGCAAAAGGTACCTCTTCTTTGTACCTTTGAACAAGTCCAGTACTGTATAACGGAAAGGGCCTCTCCTGCTTTCTCTGTTCACCATAAAATCAACAATCCAACAATTGACATGTTCCCTTCCTCTTGTAATCTCCAGGGCTGCTTTCTTATACTCTGTTTGCATCCTGCTCCCATGTGAATGCTGGGTCTCACTGTGATTAGAAAGTCATTTTTCCTTTTACTATAATTTTTTATAAGCCATTTTTCTGGTAAATTCCCCACTTGTTACTCTATCATGTTAACTGATTCCAGCCGCTAAGAAAAAGGTGTTTGGGGAGATAAACAAGGAAGAAAAGCAGCAGAATAGCTCACCTTGTGCTCAGCAGGTGTCCCGTGGACAAAGTGCTGAGCTCCTGGGCTTTGCAAGGTGCCCAGGCCTCCTTTTGCGATATTAAGCCAAGAACTGTCTTCCGCAATGGGGACCAGTTTCCCAGAAACCAAGGTAAGGCCTGAGGTACTGATCGTCAAAGTTCGCTCAACAGATCTGAAATAGTTCAGAATTCCTAAGCAGGTGCGCTGAAACAGAGAAAGAACAGAATCAGCCCTCAGCCCTTTGCTTTGCTCCACCCCACTGAGTAAAACTTGTAAGGGTCTCAAGAGGGGTGAGTCCAACCAACTGTGGAGAAAGGAACACAGCATCCCAGAAGGGGGCTGATTTCCTGCTCTAAAAAAAAAGTGGAAAGAGCAAAAAAGCATAAAGAGCAAAAGCATAAAAATGTACTGTTGCTGAAAAACAGGAGTGCCCCCTTTCTAGACAGTCAGACTTTCTGGAGACCTGAAACCAGTGTGACAGGTCATTCACATACCTGTAGCTCCCGGATTCGCAGGTGGCGCAGACACAGGAAGGACAAGAAGGCCCCTCTCATCAAGGCAGGGTTCTGGTCCCTGGGCCCAGTCCCATCATCCAGGCCCAGGAATTGTAGCGCCATCTCATAGTTGTATCTTTAGCAAGCAGGAGAAATACAATAAATACTTTTCACTTCAAAGTAGTTCAGAAAATTCACATAAAATTGAAGTTGATCTATTTAACTTAAGGGAATTTCATAATAGTTACCCTTTAAAATGTACTGGAGGGAAATTAACTACTCTACATGGGTGAAAATAGAAATTTCTCTTAGCAATCACTCCTGTTGAAAACACAGTCCTAGAGTGAAACATTAATTCAGTTGTTTGGCCTGTTTTAAGAGTCTTCCTTTCATTCCAACTTCAAGTATTTTTAGTTAACTTATATTAGTCAATCAATCACTCAATTTCCCCACAGTTTTTAAATCCCTTTCCAATGAAAAATTTTTTTACCCTGTGTCTTTTCTCTCTTTGACAGGACCGTCAGTCACGGAGACTTGGCTGAGACTTTGGGCTACATCATTTTCATTTCGTTCCATTGAAAGGTCATTGTCCTTAACAGTCAATCAAAAAGTTAGTGTGAGTTCAAGTCCATGAACATTTTCAATATTATTAACAAAATCATACTCGAGTCATCATAAAATTAAATATCATGAGCCATTTCGATGCATTAATAAAAGAACATCTTGATCCATTTCTACCTGACATACACACAGAAAATCTAGATTTCAACCATAAATTAAAGGCTCAGAGTTTTTACTAAACAAGTTTTTGCTTTTGCAGTACTAGGACCAGACCCCCACACTAAGCTACATCCTTGGCCCTTCTTAAAATTTTTACTTTATATTTTGAGACAGGTTCTCCCTAAATTGTTTAGCTGCACAAACTACTCCTCCTGTCTCAGCCTCCCGAAGTGCTCGGAATACGGATGTGTGCCACCATACCAGGCTTCCGGTTTTTGTTTTATGAAAATATTCATGGCATTTAAATAGCAGCCACCCCACTTCCCGCTGTTTTACGCAATTCACTTTACAAAAAAAAAAAATCAGTCACATAAAATTTTCAAGAACATACGCATTGGAATCTTGACATGAGGAGGGGTAGGTGGGACATGATGGTGGTTACCGTTAAGCAGTGATCCGCTCTGCCTGTGAGCAGTGTTTGTGTACATGTCAGTAAACTTCGGTGCGCATACTACAGTCCTAGAACAGGAAAAGTCCTGGGAGGTGACATGGGGTACTCCTGTTCCAATGACAGAATCAGAAAAGCATCCCCAAATGAAGAGCATGTTAATTAAAAAAAAAAAAATCTGCCAGAAAACATACACCCTATGGGGAAGCTGAATGGATACATTTTTGGGTTTGAGGGGTCCCATGGAGCCCTTTGCCTCCTGGGCCTGGAGTGCTCTTGGACTGTAGTTCAGCACTGCCCCATGAACTCCCAGAAGGAAGGCTTAGAGCCACATCCTTTTCCTGACGGGATTGTGACCTTTTCAGCTGCTTCTAAAATTACCTAGAATTACATAGGAAAAGACAGAAAGTGACGTCAAGTTAGAGTGAAAAACATTTGAAGGACTGACTGAGCAAACCACAAAAGGGCTCCTTGACCAGCAGATTGCCAGGAAGAAAGGAAGCGGGCAGAGAGACTGGGATGAGGAATGGGAGATACCTCGGCATATTCCGGGAAATAGGGTCAAACACAGCCCACAAAAGGAAGCTGCTTTGAAAATACCAGAAGCCCGGGAGGGTGCCCCCTTAGGAGTTGGAAGTATATGGAGGTAAGCAGCAAAGCTGCCTCGAAACTAGAATGCCAGTACCTTCTGTGCTCAATCTTTCTTCCAGGCAGGTAAGTCAGTAGCCCTTTCCCTAGCCTGTGCTGGGTCTTAGGCAGCATGCCCAGGTTCACGTGAATTTGAGTTCTGAGATTTCTGCTGATGACACATCTCACTTCCTGCTAGAAAGCCGGCTGAGACAGCAGATAGGGAAGTAGGATGGCAGGAATAATTACAGGAAAAGTAAATGTATTCTGTTATTTTTTCCATCCCCCAAAAACATCTCTACATTTTTTGTGTGTTTATTCACAGGCAAAGGAAAAGACTAAAAGGCTGTGTATACCAAATATTAACAACAGTGTTATTGTAGGTGGTGTAATAATTGTTGATTCTTTATTTTCTTCCTTGTACTTTTTGGTTTCCAATTTTTCCATGATGTCACCATCGTCGCCAGAAAATACTTGTTTTTAAAAGTAAATGTTCTGGCCGGGACTGTAGTTCAGCAGCACAGCACCTGCCTGGCCAGCGTGAGGTCATGAGTTCGACTGCTGGTGCCACAAACAAAAAAAGAGTAAACGTTCTACTGAATTTGATGAGAAGAACCAGGGAAAGGCATCTCACATCTCCTAGAACTTCTTGCATATTGAAGCTACTGTATAAAACACTCTTATGAGAGCATACCTCGGGCTAGCATTCACTCTAGAAATGGAGGGAGCAGTAACAGACTGGGGACATGTGGAGGCTCGTTTCCCCTTGGGCTGTGGCCAGTGAGAGAGACACAGGAAGAGGCTCTACCGCTGCTCCCTGACTGCGCAGCCTGGACGCAGCACCTCGCTACTTCCCAAGGTTAAATACCAGTGACCGATTGAATCCATATATTAAAAATATGATTGTACCTTCCATCTACAGTTATTCGAATGAACGACAGCTTTCTTAGGGATTGCCTGGTTCACAACTAACTTGACCCAACAGAAGATTCACTTTGGCCTTGCTGGTCCATGCCGTGTCCTAATCAGGACACTAAATATTTTTTAAAAATTTAAAAAGAATATGAAAGTCTTAATAGTCCATCTTGACCAGAACTATCTCTTTCTAGTTAATATTATCACTACTTAACAATTATAAGAAAAAATGATATTTTTATTTATTTCCCAATCCCAGACCTTTAAATAAATTGGAAATTAGGATTGTGTTAGAGAAGGTTTACCTTTCAATGCCAATGGTAAATAAAAGCCTAACTCAAAATGTGACAGAAATATTACAAACATTATCAGTGTTCAGACAATTATATACAATGTTAAAATGGATGTGGGAAAACAGGGACTCTCACAAGTCTCCACTGGGGGAAACATGGTATAACCATGATGGCAGAAACCATGGAAATATATTTGCTTATTCTGTGACCCAGAAAATCGACTTCCAAATATCTACTCCAAAGAAACACATGTGCAAGAAAGTTCAGTAGGCATGGCTTTTAATAGGAGAAAAAAATGGGAAGTACTGGCCATGGGGATGGTTCTGTAATCTGTGACATACAATAAAATACCATTAAAAAGAATAAATACCATTAAAAGATCTGCAGGGGCAGATCTTCAAGACATATTGTTGCATGAAAAGAAACTGAATCCACATAGTGTGACATATTATTTATATAAAAAACTAAAACACAAAAATACATATAGTGTTATATATATCCCCCAGCCTCAGCCCTGGTGCTAGGGACTGACCCCAGGGCCTGCACACTGAGCTATTTATCAGCCTTTCTTTATTTTGAGACAGGGCCCAGCTAAGTCACTGAGTTGCCCCAGACTGGGCTTGAACTTGTAATCCTCCTATTATAGCCAGCTAAGTTAGAGAGAAATTAATACACAGTTAGAGAGGGGTTGGGCCGTCAAGGAAGTCAGCACAAAAAAATCAGAATGGTGGCTAGAGGCAAATCTGAAGAGATCTAGGCCTCAGGATGCAGGTGTGATAGCCAGGCCTGCAAAATAAATAGCATCTTGAGATTTTACTGTAATTAGCACCAGCTGGTCCAGTAAGTCTAGAGCCACATCAGTGGCATAGGTGGGGGACCAGAACGTCGGAACCCATACTCCCCTCTCTTCTCCAAATGCCTTTGTTCTTTCCGTGTACCCTTGCTATGTGACTCGCTTGCCTATTGGATCAATATTAGCAAGCAGCTATACTTGTAACCCTTAGGTTGATGGTGGTCTGACCCACATTGGACTCAGTGATTTTGCTGTATAAATTACCCCTGATGAAGATTCAGGAACCCTCCTGGAAATCCAGGAGCTACTTTTTCCCCCTTACTTCCAATGAGACTCTCCTAACTTCTTCCTTTGGTTGGAGACTTCATTCCTCCGTGTCGTGAGGCCACATACTTTACACATTTGCCATTGACCAGGCCCGCAGTTATTTTCCTATATCACGTCTTCTTCTACCTCCTACCTTGGACTAAAGGTGTGCACCGCCACACCTGACTACTATATATATGTGGACATATGTATGTGTATGTTGTTGAAACACCTGCAAACAATGATGGTGCTTATCTCTGAGGAGATGCAGTGGGGATGAGTATTGGGAGATATGATAGTCAAAGAGGGACTTCACTTTTCAGTTATGAATGAATTGTTTTTACAAGGGTGAGGGGTATGTAGGAATTCTTTGTACTGTGAAACTTTTCTGTAAATCTCACAGCAGAAGGTATTTATTACTGCTTGTAGTGGATTGACTAGTGGTCAACTTGTAACGCCCAGCTGAATTGAATCAGTGTGGTCTGGGCATGGAGGATCCACCCAAGGATGTTACCAAGAGTCATAAAAAGAGAACTAGGGAGGAAGATCTTGGCCTGTTGGTTTTCTAGGAGAAGCTTGCTGCGGACGGTTTTCCTGATGCGAACTCGGCTGTTCTCATCAGAGGAGGAGCTCAGGACCACACTGTCGCTGGGAATGGCTGCTGATTTCATCAAGGGAGCTCTGAGTTTACCGTAAGCATCATGTCATGGCTCCAATGTGGATCCCTCAGCTTGGTGGCATAAATCCTTCATCTCATGAGCATAGATTTTCTGGCCTCCACCACTGGCCTTTGGGCCTTCCAGGTGCAGATCCTCAATACGGAAGCATGAGACATTGCTGTGGGCTCTGGGCCTCTGGATGCACTAGAGGAGGACACTGCCTTGGACTGTAAGCCTTTAGCTGCACTTGTGTGGGAAACTGCTTGGGTCTAGGCCCTCAGTTGAATGTTTTGGGCTTCTAGTGTGTGGTTAATCTCTTGTATTCCTTGCATTTGACTCTTTGGGTAATCATCATGAAATAACCTTAGAAGTTATGAGCCCTGTATTTAATGTATTCCCTCGCCCAATCCTGCTAACCACAACACCACTAGAGTTTAAAATAAATTTGAAAGAATTCCTTAAGGAGAAAAAAATGATCACTAGAATGGAGTAAACCTAGCAAATACCACTCAGTCAATCAAATGAACAAAATTAACATCACCAGTCCTGCCATGTTGATATCCTGTTCCCCGACACTATCTGATGAGAAAGAGTATTTTTGTCTGTGTCATATTTCTCTTTGCCTAAACCCATAGCCCCAGTATAACTATGAGAAAAATGTCAGACAAACTCAAATTAGAGATCCTTCTCCAAGTTGCCTGGCTAGAACTCCTAAAGGCTGCCAAGATCATGATAAACACTGAAAATCTGGAAACCTAGCACAGACCAGAGGAGGTTGGATCATTAAATGCAATATGGTGCCTTAGGTAGGACCTTGGAGCCGGAAGAGAACAAATAAAGTTTAGTTAACAGTGACTAGTAATGTTGCTTCCCTAGGCCTGACAAATGTGCCCCTGTAATATGAGATGTTAATAATGGGAGAAACTGAGTGAAAGGTGTATTGGGAACTCTTTGTACTACTTTGCAGCTTTTTCATACACATTAAACTATTTAAAACATGAAATTTTTATTAAAAAACAAAAACTTTAAATAAAGGCTATTGATGAACAACATTCACTGTGAATCAGCCAGAAACCATCCTGATGTTGCGGGGGCATTAGTGATTGATTACATTCTCTCCTGGTTGTCAAAACGGACAGCCCAAGAGATTTACTTGCCGTGGGATATTGGTTGCCACTTGCCAACCTCAGAATCAGCCTGCTGACCAGCATACTTGTGCTACATTTTGAACTTGGCCGCTACCTGCTTGCAAAATCATAACAGCTGCAAGACTCATACGCACATGCTTGTAACTCCTCTCAGCTGCTACGTGTTTCGCTCAATCCTAATCTCACCTGACTGGCATTTAAGATTCCGAGTGGCAACCGGCTACCACTGAGGCCCCCGGGCAGTATAAAATGATGGAAATACACGAAGAAGCCACAGGAAAATATGAAGGAAAGTAGAAAATACAGTTTTATAAGCTGAAAATTTCCTTTCTTAAACCCAGTGGTGTTTCTCTTCTCTGCTTGGAAACAGCCCTCTAGGCTGTTTTCACGTCTGGCTCCATCTCATTCACTGAATTTTAGCTCCAGTGCCACCCCCATCCCTACCAAGCCATCTTTGCTGACTTTGGTAGAGGGCGTCTCTCTGCACCCATGGTTCTCTCCCTGCCCCCCTGGTCTTCATCATGGCGCTTACAAGGTAGAGTTACGGATCTACTTTTTTGTTTATTCATTTATTGTATGGTGCTCTCCTGGGCAAGGACTGGGTCTGTTCATTGGCTGAGCCCAGTCCGATTCCTGGCACAAAGGCAGCATCTTGGTAATAATTGCTAAGTGACTGAGACAAATATGTAGAGTATTTTGTGTGTCTGTTACATGTCTCCCTCATGCCCCATCTATGGAACCTGGAATCTGAAAATATACTATGGAGTCTGGAGTCTGTTTATCATAAATCACTTCAAAATACCTGGAAATCAATTAACTCTCTCCTCCCACCCCTTCCTCTCTTCCCTAGAACACCAGGCCCAAGCACCTGCATCTTACCTTTTTTTAAAAAAATTAAGTTTATTGGTACATTTTAGGTATACAGTACGGTTGCATTCATTACTGGGATCTTGTACCTTTACATGACAGGTCTTGGTTCTCATTTTTTCCCCTTGTCCCTGAACTCCCTTCACCCCCTCCTCCCTTCCCTATTTACAAAAACTTGGTTTTCATTTTTTCCTTTCCTCACATTTTTTTCTTTTCCCTTATTTCCTTTCCCCTACCTTTCCCACTTCCCCTACACCTTTAGTCCTTTTCTTCCTATTTCATATTGCCAATTGTACAATTTCAACCTTATTTACACTTAGTTTTTCACACCAGAGAAACTATTTGGTATTTACACATGTGTGTCCTATTTATTTCACCAAAGAGTATGGCCTCAGTATGCATCCACTTAGCTATAAATGTCTCTAATTTCTAATTCTTTATGGTTGAGTAGTACTCCATTTTATAGGAAAACCACATCTTCTTTATCCAGTCTCCAGTTGATGGGTAAATGGACTGTCCCCATGTTTTAGGTATTACAAATGGTGCCGCTATAAACACGGGTGTGCATACATCACTGTGGTATATGCATCTTACCTTTTGAACCTGAAAATTCTATGACTTATGCACTTTAAAACAAATTATATCATTCTCCTTTCCTCCAAATGACTCTCTCACCTGGTTTCTTCTGCCCACCCTCTCCTCATCTCCAAGCATTATCTATATCTTAGTTTTCTCCTTCCTTTTCTTTCTTCTCCTTCCTATCAGAGAATAAATACATCCAGATCATCCCATCGTAAGTAAGCAAATGAAGCAAAAACTTCACTTACAGCAACAAACAAATAATAGCATATTAAAACTTCAACAGGCTGGGCATAGTGGCACTTGGGAGGCTGAGGCAGGAGGATCACTGTGAGTTCAAGACCAGCCTGGGCTACACAGTGAGTTCCAGGTCAGTCTCAACTACATAGTGAGACCCTGTCTCAAAACAAAAACAAAAAGAAAACATTTCAACAACACATTATCACTGTAAAGAGAAACATCTCCCAGCTTTGTGTAAAAACCTCCTTCAACTGCCAAGCTCCATGCCTACCCTGTGCAGCAGCTGCCTAAGTGGCTTCAGTTACTCCCTTTTTTAATCTGATTAACATCGTACTGCCATGTGAATTTTCTTAAAAAAATCTATCTCTATCTCTATCTCTATCTATCTCTATCAGTGCCCTTGCAGGATAAAACACAAATTCCTTTGTCCAGAATTTATAGGTATTCACTTGTGCTGGCCGCTCTCCAAGTAAAGCACAATTTCTCTCCACTATAATTCCACATGAATCCTCACTCACCCGAGTGGGACTTGGACTTACCATCTAATATATCCCTGCTTCATCGTCATGTTTTTTTTTTTTGCATCGAGTTTATTCCTTTTTTATTACTGAGTGGTATTCTGCAGTATAGGTGTACCATTTCTCATTACTCATTAAGTTTATCGGTACATTTTAGATATACAGAATGATGACATTCAGCATTGAGAATTTGTACCTGTACCTGACATATCTTGGTTCTTATTTTTCCCCCATTCCTCTGCCCTCCCTTCAACCACTCCACCCCTTGCTATTTACAAAGACTTCGGTTCTGTTTTTTCCTTTCCTCATATTTTTCCCTTTCTCTTCTTTCCTTTCCTCTACCCCTACTAGTTCCCTCCCCTCCCCCTTTGGACCTTTTCTTCCTATTTCATATTATTATACATTGCGATCCTCATTTACACTTGCAGTTTCTCACACCAGAGAAACTATTCGCTTTTTACACCTGTAAAGCTTTATCTCACTTAAGAGTATGGCCTCAGTATGCATCCAGTTAGCTATAAATGTCTCTAGTTTCTCATGTTTTCTTGGAGACAAGGTCTCACTACATAGCCCAGGCTGGCTTCAAACTTGTGTCAATCCTCCTGCCTCAGCCTCCAGGGTGCTGGGGTTATAGGTGTGTGCCACCACACCCGGCTCCATCATTCTTGCTACCTCTTCTACAAAGTGCTACCTTCTTTCTTTTCACTACTTGTCCAAGCCTACATCTCCTTCAAGCCAGGCTCCATGCCCTTTTGAGAGGCTTTCCCCATTAGTATCAGCCTGTAGGGACCACTTTTCTCTAAACACTCTCCATATTTAATCCCTGTCCACCTGTGTATTTAGCATTAGGATATGAAGCTTTGCATTAGTATTAATCCACTTAAGTCTGTGTCTTAGTAGGAACAACATATCCTCTTTATATGCTTCTTTTGGCAAACATATAAGCTCCCTCATAATGAAAACAAACCTGGCTTGATAACAGAGCTTTTGGTGAGAGGGAGACAGAAAAACTATCAAAGTACCTTTCTCTCTCTCTCTCTCTCTCTCTCTCTCTCTCTCTTTCTTTCATTTTGTTCCCCCCCTTCATTCTTTTTTCTGAAGTACATTTCTAAGAGCTGCCCACAGATGCCAGGTTAAACAGAAAGGCATATTAGTTACTTCTTAATGTTTTACCTGGTAGAGGTTGACATTGCTATAAATGTTCTCCCAGATTTTGTCATAATTGCACTGATGTAAACCTTGGGGAGTCATGAAAGATGGATGATGTGGATTCAGTGTGATTGTCTTAGCAGCGTGGTCTTGGAGCACTTGCATTACTCGCTTAGGGTCAGAAATCTTAGAAAAGAGAGGAGTAATAGTTAGTACAACTGTTATTCCCTTCTCCTCAGCAAGAAATCTGTCCCATACCCATGAATAAGGAAGAAGCCCTAGATGGGACTTTATTCAACTAAAAAAACAAAACAACTCTAGCATTGTGATTATCCAAATACGTTCATCCATTCCACACCATAAGTATTTACATGTATGTAGCAGCGCATTTAAAATTCGTGACAACTGTAAGATAACCTGAGATGGCACCTCCAACAAGCGTCGTGGCATCAGTGAAACATAAACACCATCAGTGCTGGGCAAACTCTGTCCACTGTGAGGACACCGCTGAGAGAGGGAGGAGATGGCAGCAGGGTAGCACACACAGAGCCCGAGCTTTGTAAGGATACAGAGTTGGGCTCATATCTCCATTGGAACTCTGGCTTTCCTACACACAGTAGTTCATGTCAACAGAAATACTAGTAATATTTCTCCTCAGATCACTGCAAGATGACCACCATGTAATAATTGTCCTCTTTCTTCTGGAGATAGAGAATTGAATAACAATCCTCGACTTGAACTTCTACATTAGTAATAATGCACATCATTATACAATTTTAACATCACCAAATTAGGGATTTATTCTAGTTCCTATCACCACCTCAGAGGTATTTCCTGCAAACAGAAAAATCCAGCCAGCCAGGTATGGTAGCTCATGCCTGTAACCCCAGCGCTCAGGAAGGTGAGGGAGGAGAATCTCCATGAGTTCAAGACCAGCCTTGGCTACATAGTGAGTTCAAAGCCAGCCTGAACTGTACAGTGAAATCTAGTTTCAAGTGGAAAAAAAAAATCCTAAAATTCATATGGGGTCTCAAGGAACCTCCAAATACCCAAAACTATTTTGAAAAAGAAAAACAAAGCTGGAAGATCCCAATTTCCCAGTTTTATAAAGCTGTAGTAATCAGCATGGTACAAGTATAAAGACAGACATGTAGGCCAATGGAATAGAATATAGAGCTCAGCGATAAATCCCTCTAAAAGCAGTCAAGGATGCTATATCACGAAATGAAGAGAGGGCAGTATCTTCAATAAAGGGTGTTTGGCAAAGTGACTAACCACATGTGAAATAATGTTTTATTCTTATACCATAGGTAAAAGTTGACTCCAAATGGATTGAAGACTTAAATGTAACACCTAAAATTATAAAACTCTTAGAAGAAAATGTAGAGGAGCTGGGGATTTAGCTAAGTGGTTCTGCCACCTGCCTTACAAGTACAAGATCCTGAGTTTGATCCCCAATACCAAAAAAAAAAAATGTAGGGAAAAGCTTCATGATATTGGAGTTGTCAATAATTTTTGGCTATGACACCAAAAGCCTGAGCAACAAGAGCAAAAGTCAATGAATGGCATCACATCAAACTTAAAAAGAATTGCGTTCATCAAAGAATATAATAAATGGAACGAAAAGGCCACCTACAGAATGGGAGAATTTTTCTCTAATTATATATTCAGTAAGTGGTCAATAGTCAGAATATATTTTTAAAAACTACAACATAAGAAGAAAAAAATCAAATAATCCAAATAAACAAACAAATAAATAGGCAACCCAGCAAAGGATTTGAATAGCCCCATCCCTAAAGAAGATACACAAATGGTCAACAAACATATGACAAGATTCTCAGCATCACTAATCATCGGAGGCATGCATATCCCCTCATACCTATCAAGATGGCTACTGTAAAACAAACAAAAACAAAATCACAAGTGTTGACAAGGATGTGGCAAAACTGGAACCTTTCTGTACTGCTGGTGGGACTGTAAAATGGCATAACTGCTACAGACAACAGACATATGTAGTTTTCTCAAAAAAATTAAAAATAGGATTAACATATGATTCAGCTATTTTACTCCTGACATCTTCAAAAGAAAGCAGGATCTCACAAATATATTTGCATATCAAAAATATATTTGCATATGTTCATGGCAGCATTATTCACAATCATTACAAGGTGGAAGCAACACAAATGTCCATCAACAAATGAACAGATAAAACATAATATATACTTAGAAGGCCATATTATTCAACCTTAAAGAGGAGGGAATTGACATCTTCTAACAGTTGAACCTGGAGGACATTATGCTAGGTGAAATAAGCCAATCAAAACTGTTATCTATATAGTAAAGTAGTGAAATTCACAGAAATAGAAGGAAAAATGGTGGTTTCCAGAAGGTGGGGTTGAGCAGGTGGGAATTGTTTAATGGGTATAGAACAGAGTTTCAATTTTGCAAGATGGAAAAGTTCAGGGGATCTGTGAATATAAATTCACAATGTAAAATATATTTAATATTACCAAACTATATACTTAAAATGGTTTAGATGGTGAATGTTGTATTTTTAAAAAATCACAATAAAAAGTCATTTAGACCAATATTTTTATTTCACTGGAGAGGAAAGTAAAACTCAAAGAGGTTACATGATTTAGACTAATGTCACAGCAAGACTTGGTTGATGTTAGATCGGCTAAATGGCACTTTCGACAATTTCGATTTTATACTGAAAATCATAGGACCTTTAAAATCTGATAATTAGATTAAAAAGTTCCAAATAAAGTCTTCATGGTGAATCATGCCAACATTTTTAAAAGAGAAAATTCTTTTTTAAAAGGATAATTGTTTAGCAAAAATTATATCTACAAGAGAACATGCTTATTATTATTATTATTATTTATTTTTACCTTCAAAAACTTTGCTTGGAGTTGCAATAATATATCTACTCTTTTTCGTTCTTTAAGTTTGATCATCATCTTCTTTTGCCAGGGATCACATTTTGGTTTGATCTAGTGGACAAACATTCACATAAAGTTACAATGTAACAGAGTGGTTAGCAATGAAAGTTGCAAACGAAATGTTTCCAGGACTTTCTGAGGTAGGACCTGGTCTTGGTGCCAAAGTTGTCTGAGGGAACTGAGGTCTCGGGAAGGGTCTCTGAGGGATCACACATTCACTGAAAGTGACAGCAATGCTTGTTGGTACCTGGCCTATGAGATGCAGTGACTCATTGTGGACTATACTGTGTGCCACGAGCAGGAAGGATCCTAAACCCATCAGTTCTGGTCACTGCACTTTATTCATGAAGCAAGAGAGAAGGAGGCTATCCACAGAATCCTTGTGACTCCAATTTAAAACTTCATTTTTCTCATTAGTGAACTGTATTTTAAAAATCACTTACATTGCTGAGACTATCATCAATATGCTGGTACTCTCAAACATGTCTCAGTCCTAGGCTCTGGCTTATTACATCCACTTACCTCCTTGATATGTAAAGCTAATGATCTGAAATTGAAAATCCAGCTTTCTCTCCACTAACCACCCTGTGCTCAAGCTCCAGACTTAGGAGTAATATTAGATTTCTCTCTTTTTTCTCAGTCCACTGGTCAGAATGAACTATGCTCAGAATGGTTGTCTCTCTAAAATTTATATGTTGAAACTTAACCTCTAAGGCCATAAGGAGTTGAGACCTTTCAGAAGTGAGTAATTTATGAGTGGAGCCCTCATGAACGACTGATGCCCTTGTAAAAGGGCTCGAAGGAGCTTGTTGGTCTCTTCCAACACATGAGGACACAGGGAGATGTCAGCAATCTGAGCTTGGCAGAGGGCTTTCGCCAAAACTCAACTGTGCTGGCCCTGTGATCTTAGACTTCTCAGCCTCCTGAGTATGGTAAATACAATTCTGCTTTTTATTAGCCACCTAGTCCATGATATTTTATTCAAGCATCTTGAATGGACAACAACAACCTAGACTGACTTTCTTTTCTTTCTTTCTTTCTTTTCTTTTTCTTTTTTCTTTACTCTCTCTTTCTACAATCAATTCATAGCATTCGTAACACCCATATTTTCAATTTTACTTACTAAAATTAATTTATGACCCCAAATTTAACACTGATAGAACTTTCAGGGCCATTCATGGACATGCAAGAGAACAATTTGATTTGCCCAGTGGGCAAATTCCCAGCTAAAGCTGAACACAGCAATATTCTCCCTTCTTCTTATCTTAAAAGATAAGAAACAAGTACCTTTTAGGGGTCTATTTAGGGCCACATTTTTCACAGATTTTTTTTTTTTTTTTTTTTTTTTTGAGAAAGGGTCTCACTATGTAGTTGAGTCTGCCCTGGAACTCACTGTGTAGCCCAGGCTGGTCACAAACTCACGATCCTTCTGCCTCAGCCTCCTGAGTGCTGGGATTACAGGCGTGCACTATCATGCCTGGCCAGATTTTGTGATTTTTGATGATTTCGTCATTGAAAATGTTCTTAAAGCAGAGTTCTAAAGTGCCGTTTTGAAGCACAAGGCAGCAACATGCCTTCTGGAGAAAATTGTTTAGGTAAGTTTCACTCATATATGAATTACAGTGATACTGGCCACAAGTTCAATGTTAATGAATCAATAGTGTACACTAAATAAGGTGTCTTTAAACAGAAACACACAAAATAAGAATATGCATTTGTTAATATTGTGAGCAGAGATTGGCAGGAACCTAAGCCTCTGTCTTTAGCCTACAGCTAATGACTCTGTATCTGCCTAGTCAGCGTTCCTGGTGAATTTTTAGAGCACAACTTCCTCGAATGAGAACGGAGTGTTCTCAGGATGACTTAAAACAATCTTATTTGGTCTTCTTACTTATATGTTGCTTGTGAGCTGTGCATATGTAGCCTGAGTCATGGTTTTAAACTAAAAAGTTGAGTTTACACAAGTCAGTTACACCTTTGGGTATCATTCTTTCTTCTTGCCGAGTAGCTGAGGCCCAATAGAGTGGGGTTACAGGAATCTACAGAACCTGCAGACAAGCTGGATCAGCACGGTTAACTTTAACCTAGGGCTAAGGCAAAGGTCCTCGTGCACGGGGCTGGGATCTCTGACTGGTCTTCCCTGGGGACAGACAGGAACCTCCTCTTGGTCCTACAGGGACAACTGGTTGAGGCCACTGAGGATATAGGACAATCGGGACCAACAGACTTGCTGCTGCAGACTGTCTACCCTGGACAGAGGACAGTTTTGTGACACTGCTGACACCACTGACAGTTGAATGTTACCAAGGGCTTCCTCACCTTTATAAAGGCAATCCAGTTGGCTCGCTTCTTCAGGGTCCTAGCAGGTCCAGACAAACCCAAATTCTCTGCTTTAGTAATCCCAGCTTCATAGTCCAGAAATGTTTGCATTTGCTGTTGCTCCGTGAAGATGCTCTGGAAACTTTGGGAAACCTAAACAGAATTAGATTAAGAAGAAAGGAGTGGAGTCCGGAAAAGTCTCAGAAAATTTAAAAAACAGGTACTGGTTGTCTCGGAATCAAAGTAGCTCTGGAATCAAATTAACTCATAAAACAGGGCTCCGTGACAGTAGTAGGACTTTACATGGACAGACGTACTTGTGTGACACATGCACTCAGGCAGCTGATTGCCATAACGGTGCCTGGGTTACTTATTGGGAATGTCTGCTCTCCAAGACTGAAAATATATTAACATGTTTACTTATACTTACTTTGAGGTGGATCCTAAATATAAACAGGAAGTAAACTGTCCACCTCTGGAAATATATTCACTTTTTTCTGATCACCTGGAAAAATAGAAAATCTTTTTTTGTTTGTTCATTTTTGTTTTTTTTGAGATAGGATCTTACTATGTAGTTGAGACTGACCAGGACCTCACTATGTAGCCCAGGCTGGTCTCGAACTCACAGTGATCCTCCTGCCTCAGCCTCCCGAGTGCTGGGATTACAGGCGTGCACCACCATGTCCGGCACAAAACAGAAAATCTAAGAATTAAACAAAATTTTCTCGGAAGCTAGACTAGTGTGTTGCAAGAAAGAAGAAGAATCCAGATGGTAGAACCCACATGTATTAACACTTTTAAAGATAACTTGTTTTATTCCCTTCACACCGCAACTTCAGACCAAAGCTACAAAAGCTTTCTACAACCCAACTGTGTACTTCGAAAATGCTGAGCATTTCCTCTTCCCCTCTCTGCAGTGGGCCTAGGCACTGGGCTCGTGCCGACACTGCCAGCACTGGCCACACTGTGTCCTGATTTCCCTATTGCACGGTGGCAGCTGCACAGTGTGCATGTTCCTAATGCCACTGAACTGTGCACTTAAAATGATTAAAATGACACATTTTATGTTATATGTAGGCACAGGTGCGTGTATATACACACCAAGAAACGTCTGCACCGCTGGTACATACTGAAAGCCCCACCAAAGCTTTCTAGAATGAATGAGCAAGTCTGTGAGTTAGAGAACTGAAGACTCTTCCAGTTCATGCTGCTACTTTTGAAGTTGCACTGTTGTCCCTAGCCAGATGTGGCCATTGAACATTTATTTGTGACTTACTAAACAGCAAATAAGTTGAGCACTTAGTCCCCCACTTGCACTAGCTAGATTTCAAGTGTCCAGCCGCTGTATGTGACTAATGGTTAGCACCCTGGATGGCAGGGCAGGCACAGAACACATCCAGCACTGCTGAGATTCAGTGAGACGGTGGCTACTCTAGGTCTGAGTGGCAACATTTTTCTGAAAGGGCCAGATAGGAAATATTTTAGACTTTACAGACCACAAAGTCTCTACTGCAGCTACTCAAGTCTGTCACTGTAGCATGAAAGCAGCCACAGACAACAGTACCTTAATAAACATGGTGTTGTTATGGTCTAAACATTTGTGTCTGCACAAAACTCATGCATTGAAACTCTAACCTGCTATGAACCAGAAAGCAGACCTTCCCCAGGCACTAAATCTGCCTGAATCTTGGACCTTCCCATCTCTACAACAATAAGGAATAAGTTTCTACTATTTGTAAGCCACCCAATTATGGTCTTTTGGGATAGCAGTCTGAGAGAGCTGAGAAAGCTGGGTTCCAATAAAACTTTATTTTAAATAAACAAATGGTCAGTTGCAAGCTATAGTTTGCTGACCCTGCTCTAAGGCATCTGAGTATCAGAATAAACTACCTAAATAAATGAGCTCTTCCTACACAAATATGTTGTAGTAATTTATTATCTTGGGAGCATAAGTAATATTTCACATCCCAGACCTGGTGGTGTACTCAGAAGGTTCCAGGTCAGCCTGGACTACAGAGAGAGATCCTGTGTCAAAAACAAAACTAAACAAGACAAAACAACAAACAAAAAAGGACAACTATCACCATATAAAGGATACAAGTTGGCATTTGGGAACAAGGCTATTTTGTTGTTCAGCTGGCCTCATGTCCTTTTGCTTATTGTTGATAACAGTCTACTGCGCTATAATTTATTTTTACTTATTTTGATGTGTGTGTGTATGAGTGTGTTGTGTGTATGTGTGTGGTAGAGAGGGGTTCAAACCCAGGGCCTTGTGCACGGTAGACAAGCACTCTACCACTGAGCTATGTCCCTCGCCTTCTTATTTTATTTTGAGACAGAGTCTCAAAACTTATGATCCTCTTGCCTCTCTCTCAATTAGCTGGGATTACAGACAAGCACCATCATACTTAGCTTATTTTGGTTCTTTTTTAATCACTATCTTATTCCAATTCTATGTTTTGGCAACATAATACTTGACGATAATGAAGAAAAGACTCCCAGAGAAACACTCTGGAAGGATTCTGCTGCTGAAAAAAGGCAAAAACTAAAGATCATCACTGAAGAAATCAGAGGAATGTGATATCATTGTTCCAGTGAGCATAGAGTCCATTAAATGCTAATATAAATAATCCTGGTAAAATAAACAAATACAAATGAAACTTCAAGGTCAAGCAAATGCTGTTAGAGGACATACCCTGCCCCCATACTAGGGATTAAACCCAGCACCTCTGCTAGGCAACTGGCCACCTTACATGAAGAACATTTTTAAAAAACATTCTGATTTGATTATTGCCTGTTTAAATCAATTTATTATTTTTATCTAGAAAAAATATATATACTTGCAAATATATATACATATATATATTTAAATACTTGCAAGTAACATATAGTGAAAGCTAGAATAATATCTCTATAGTTGAAACATGCTGAAAAAAAATGTTAACATAAATCTGATTCTCTCTCCTATGGTCCTATTTTTACCTTTGAAACCAGCTATAGAACACTTTCTGGTAATATGAGTTTGTAAGGAAGTACAATTGTGTTATAGTAGAGAAGACTGCACGACTTTAAACATTACTACACAATGTACACTTTATTGAATATAAAGCATTTTGCCAATAAGGAGACTATTTCAATGCATTCTGAAAAAGTGATGGACTTTAGATACTGGACGACTCTGCCATGCAAATTTGCCGAATTTTTGCTATTTTCATATCATTTATTGTAAACTATACTGTAGCCTTTTCTTTAAATTTAGCAGGAAAATAAGTCTGGGTTTGTCACATTAGAAGGTCTCATTACTCTTACAGAAAGGAAGTTCTTCCTAACTGCTAATCCAAGTATCATCTATTAGTATTTTATCTTATGACTCTAGAAGCAATGGTTGGCAGGGTGGGGGATTTAGCTCAGTGGCTCCACCGCCTGCCTGGTAAGTACAAGTCCGGTACCAAAAAGCAAGAAAGAAAGAAAGAAAGAGTTGGCAGTAAGATATGCAACTTCGCGGCACATAGTAGTGTTTTCTGTCATGAATATCTATATTTGTGGTAAGAAATAATGCATCAAGTACCAGTGAAAACAGTTCCATTTCCTTCACAGAGTCCCTTAGGTCCTGCACATTGTATCGGATTTGGAAGTGGGAAAGTAAGCGCTTCAGCTGAGGTTTCAGTTCTCCTGCTTCTGTCATATGTTGGGGCAGGGTGAAAGCAGCATTTGTGCACACTGGCCCTGAAAAAATCCAAATCAACAACATGAAGACCAATGGACATCAGTCAGGCAGAGCAGGCAGGGGTACCTTCGAGACAGCTGGAGTAGGCCTCCTCTGCTGACGCAAGGGCCGTGCTTCTCCTTGCCCAAACTTCCCTGCCCCAGCTCAACATTCAGGCCGCATTTGGCCAGGTATACCTTGTAAGTCCTTGGAGCAACATTTCTCCAGGAGGTGACAAGGGCTTCTCACAATCTCGCAGCCTATAGGAGAGACCCAACAGACCTGTGTGGGAACGAGTTAGCGGGAGCCGACCTGTCTGTAGTCCTTTATGATAAATGAATTCTAGCCTGTGAACCACCAAATTTAAATGTGACAGCTTTCACCTGACTGGCTCCTATTCAACTCTAAGGACCCAGTATGGACTCCTTTCCTTTGAAGCCCTGCTGTGGGGGTTGGCCACCTCTCTCAGGCACTCTTGTGACCTGTAACACAAGGACAGGAAGGCTGTACTAAATTGATTCTGGCAAGGACATTTTTTTTTTCTTTTTAGAATTGCACAATATTAAAACTTGAAGGAACCTTAGAAATCACTGAATCTGAAAGGTTCATTATGGAGATGAGTAAACCAAGGCACAAGGAGATACAAAGCAGACCAAAACGAGGCGATGACAGGAGAAGACCTAGAACCCCGGGCTCCCGGATCCAAGTCCATTTTTTCTCTTTAATTTGGTAGAAAGATAGAGCTAAAGATGTCTAAGGGAAGTGGGTGACGTGTTTTTCTATAGGCGAATATTAAATTTAAAAACTTGTTAACTTTTTGGTACATAAAAAATGTTACAAGATCGTGGATTAAAATAAAATGATCTTCTCTTCTCCACATTACCCAAAGGGAAAGAAGACTAATTTCGTACCTGAAATGCTGGTGTCCACAGAGCCAGTGCATGCAGGATCCTGGATATCAGGGTTGATGTCACCGACACCGTCCTTTTCCTTTTCCTGACTGGCCTTGGGGAGCTGGTTGTTGGGTAGATTCAGCACGCTGGAGATTGGCGAGTACTGGAGGGCCTACGGAAAGGCAGAACCAAGGGGCCACAGGTCAACTCAGTTCTCACAGAGGCTTCCACACTTGTAAGCTCAGGAGCAGCACTTTGCTTGGATAAGGAAGAGGGGTAGAGGTAGAACCTCCTCAGTAGCCTGCCCCATCTGTCTAAAATGGAAATGGGACTATGGGATCTCTTTGTGATGCCACCAGCCTGAGTTTGGCCCTCTTCTCTGTGACAATCTTTCCCCTGTACTTATGCTTAATCTACTCTTTCTTATCCCATGGTCTTTCAGTTGAAAACTTCCTTGCGCATCCTCTACCTGGGCTGGAATACAGTCACTTTTCCACACAGAGACCCCCTCTTCAGTATATGGACAAGCACCTGGAACACACCAGACCCTCCTTAAAGATTACTGAATGTTAAAAATAGCTAAATCGGACAGCATAAATCTTGAACAGGATGGTGAAGAGAAGACCTTAAATATGAAATAGCACATCACAAACATCTATGAGAAAGCTAAATTAAGGGAGTAACTTCAGTCAAGCAAGGTTTAAAAAAAAAATCCAGTGACTCCTGACATTTGTCAGGCAGGTAGAGAACATAAACAGTGATGATCCAAAACTAGGTGACCATGGTGAGCTGACCCACTGACCATTCCTGGGAGGGTACCACATCATCACACGACCGTCACATACCTGCAGGTAGTGGTGCATGGTCCCGAGGGAGGTCAAGTGACACACTAACCACTTTGTGTAAATAGTCAGATCTTCTTGCGTCACTAGGTTCGGAGGATTGTTTTTTCCCATGAGGAAGTTTTCTCGAGCAACAGACAATCTTTCAGCTCTCTGAACAGCATCACTGTACTCTTGGATGATGTAGGCAACTTGCTTCTGTTTATGAGAGATACAAAGACGCCCTTGGCTCTTTGTGAGCTTATTCTCTGTATCTTTTGCTTGCAAGAAGAAGATAATACTGTCTGGGGCAAAATAAGGGGCTCTTGGAATCCCAGAGTCTTCCACATTTTGAATCTGATTGACAAAGGCAGTGTCATCCTCTTAGGACTTTGAGAGGGGAAGATTCCAAAGAGTCAGTGAATGAGGATGTGGAGTAATTGGAGTCAGCTTCTGAGCTTTCTCCTTATAGCAAAGATATCCAAGTCTATGAAAAAATGTATGTATTACCACGTAACACTTCCTTCAAATCTCACTCTTAAAAGTAGGACCCACTGTCTTCTGCCACGGGCAGAACAGGAAAGAAGGTTCGCTCATTAGTTCCTTTCGTACCTTTAGCTATGACTTTCTTTTTCTTTTCTTTTTTTTAATTGAGAAGCTTATTGACCATTTTGTTTCATTGTAGAAAATAGCCCACAGGTCCTGTTCATGGGCTTCCTACCTTATAAAGAGGATAAAGTTGCTCCATGGTCGTACTGTTCTGGCAAAACCTCTTCCACCTAAGCATGTGTAAATATTTGCTCTGGACAAGCTGGGTAATTCTCTCTGTGTAATACTTTAACAACAACAAAAGTAAGCATTTAGCAGAATAGAATTAATAGTAAGAAAACTGAATTACTAACAATAGGTAAATCCATGTCTGGCTATTTTTGGAAAAATGCATTTTTTTTTTACATGCAGACCATAAAATTAAGAAAACTGACTCAAAATATCATTCAAACTTAAAGCAAGTGGATATTTCTGAATCTTTAAGATCTGTTGCCAAGTTGATAGATATAAGCTAATTTATTAGTTACTGAGCAATTCTAGCAGTGATATTAAGATCAGACAAATTATCTAAAGTTGAGCTTACATTTCATATCAAAAACTGAAATTGTGAGTCAAAAATACACTATACATTACAGATAAAAATTCTAACATTTAACCTGAACTAGACATTTTATTTACACTTAAAAATGAGCTCTCTTGCTAGGTATGGTGATGCATATCTGTAATCTCTGCTATTTGGGAGGCTGAGGCAGGAAGATCACAAGTTTGAGGAAAACCTGGGTGGCTTAGTGAGACCCTGTCTCAAAATAAAATAAAAAGTGCTGGGAGACATCAGTACTGCCAAACAAACAAACATCAGAAACAAAAAATACAACAGCAAACCCCTTTTAAGCATTTTCCTTCTGGTAATAAAAACAATACTGGCTAGTTCCATCATAGTCTTCTATCATAAGTAAGTAGAAAAATGGACAAAATATACAAGGCAACTGGTTTTTGATATTGATAATGCAGGGCCATGGTCCCTAGAAGAAGAAACACTAATCATGCAAGCCCTACCATCACCTTGCAATTTGTGAGCTATGGAGAAGGAAAGGAAATCCTAAACAGAGTAGATGATCTCTCTAAGTGAAAGAGAGAAACTAAAGTTTGGGAAGTGGAGTCAGCTAAGGTTTGTGGGGTAGAGAACTGGAGAGGGGTCCTGAAATATGCATAGATTCCTTTTGAGTTTGTTACTGAATACTACTAAGCTAGGCATGCAAGATGGTGAAGCTCCAGGGAGTTGTGCAGAGACCCTAAGTGAGGCTTTGTAAAATAAAGAGCTCCCAGAGTTCTCACAGGGCTGGGAAATGTCCAACTGGCCAGAGTGAAGGATCGTAATGGAATCCCTGGGACAGTCAGCAGAGACATCAGGGACTTCGGTAATAAAGACAAACTGTGCCTAGACTAAAGATTATTCTAAACCTACTCTAATGAAGCTTAAAAGCGAGCCTTGAAAGGATTAAGTTGAGGTGTAAGTGAGTTAAGAGCCTGCCAGAATAAGCAACACTCTAAAGAACACAAAATATCCGGCACTCAAAATGATAAATGGATGATTTCCAGTATTCAATTAAAAATTATTAGACTTGCAAAAGACTAGGAAAGTATGATCCATGAGCAGAGGAATAAGTGATAATGAGAAAGAGACCTAGAAATGACACAGGGAAAGAAATTAGCAAATAAAACATTTAGAGAACTATTATAAATATCTTCATCTTGCTTGAGGATTGAAAGGAAAATATGAAAAAATGAGATGGGAAATACCAAAAAGAATCAAGTGGAATTCCAGAAATGGAAAATATAATATCTGAAATAAAAGTTGACTGAATGATACTAAAAAACAACAGACAAGGGCCAGGGATTTAGCTTAGTGGCACCAAGTGTCTGCCTCACAAACACAAGGTCCTGGGTTCAATCCTCGGTACGGCAAAAACAAACAACAAACAAAACAAAACAAAACAAAAACACATCAGACACTGCATAAGGAAAGCTGGTGAACTTGAAGACATAGTAATTGGAATTATATAAAATGAGGCACCAAGAAGAAAAAAAAAAAGGCTAAAAAAATCAACAGGATCTTAGTGATCTGTGGAATAACATAACGTGGTTTAACATATGTATAATAGGAGTATCACCAAAAGGGTGAAGACAGGAAATATATTTGAAGAAATATATTGTTAATTTTTTTCAAAAAACACAAAAACAAATTCACAAAGGAGTTCATTCAATTCCAAGCAAGAGAAACACAGAAGACACATCAAAATAAAATTATAATAAAATTAATCAAAACCATTAAGAGAAAAACCTTAAATGCAGCCAAAGAACAAAAAGATGCATCATGTTCCAAAATGAAAGCTATGCAAGCCAGGTTGAGAGCACTTGTTGGTGGTGGTGGTGCTGGGGACGAAATCCAGGCTCTCATGCCTGCTAGAGAAGTACTATATTAGGGCTGGATATTTAGCTCAGTGGTTCTGCCACTGGTCTTGTAAGCCCAAGGTCCTGAGTTCAACCCCTGGTACCAAAAAAAAAAAAAAAAAAAAAAAAAAGTACTGGGCTACACCTCAGTCTCCTAGAGAAGTGGTGAGAACCCAGGGTTGTGTGTTACTATGTTTTTCTTTTAAGGCATAAGATGTTAAAGTATGAGTTTTTTTTTTCTAAACTAAAATCTCAGTACTGGGTTTAATTGCAGTGTTGGCACTTTGTGAGAAATAAGTGGGTTTTGGGGTTGCAGTTTTGTTAGTCGATCTCTAAAAGGTTCACCGTTACTAAACAAACGCAACATCTTTAAAGGGACAAAGTGAAAAATCAGCCCAGGATGATTCTACATTGAACAAAAACATCATTCTAAAAATGACAGAATAATGCTTTTTGAAAAACAGTAGACTGTGAGTATTGTCCATGGCCAACCTGCACTAAAGAAATGCTAGGAGGTTCTTCCAACAGAAGGCAAACAATATCATATGAAAATGTAGCCGAGAGTTGCTCAACCTCAGCACTACTGACCTCTGGGATTGGATAATTCTTTTGTGAGAGGCTGCCCAGTGCACTGTAGAATGTTTACCAGTATCCCTGGCCTCTACCTACTAAATGTCAGTAGCAACAAACCATATTCGCCTGGTCCAAACTTGGATAACCAAAAAAATTCTCCAAAGATTTCCAAATGTCTGGTAGAGAATATAATGCCTTATGATCTCTACCCTTCCAATCTCTCAGTTGAAAAGCACTGATAGTCACAAAGAGATGAGAATGCAAAAAAATTAAATAAATAAAAGATAAGGAAAGAGAACTCTGAATGGAGATAATGACAACAGTCTGACTAGCAAATTGAATCTCAGTGTCATTTGTTTCCTTGTGATTACTTTAATATTTAATTGTCAATTATTTACAAAAGCATTTATTTGCATGCACAGAATTTTAAAGATTGAAATTGCCCATGCTTATTATAGACAATGTATGGCTGTCGTGTCAGAGTGGTGGTGTGGGCCTATACTCCCATCTGCTCAGGAGGTTGAAGCAGGTGGATCAAAAATTCAAGGCCAGGGCTGGGGATTTAGCTCAGTGGTGCCACACTTGCCTCGCAAGTTCAAGGTCCTAAGTTTGATCCCCATTACCCCACCCCCTGAAAAAAGAAAAAAGCTCAAGGTCGGCATGAGCAATTTAGGGAGACCCTACCTCAAAATAAAATTTTGTGGGCTAATTTCTCAGTGGCAAAGCATTTGCTTAGCATGTTTGAAGCCCTGGGTTCAATTCTTAGTACAATAAATGAATAAATAAGTAGACAAATAAATAAAATTATACTGCCAGCCCAACATAGCAATTGTTAACATTTAAGACTTTGTCCATCAAGTGACTTTTCTACACATTATTTAACCTTTAATATTTGCTCTTCTTGGTTTTTATTAACTAAAATTACACAATACAATAATTCCTCATGCTGAAAAATGTTTAGTGGCAGAACAATATTCTACCAAGTACCACACTGTTTTTCTTAATTCTTTCTTTTATTAGTAGATTTTTATGTTTGTTTTGTTTTGTTTTGTTTTGAGACAGGGTCTCATTGTGCAGTTCAGGCTGACCTTGAACTCACAGCGATCCTCCTACCTCAGCCTCCTGAGTGCTTGGATTACAGGCATGCACCACCACACCTGGCCCTTAATAGTAGATTTTTAGACAACTCCATTTTTTTGCTTTTATTGTAATGCTGTGATAATAATCTTTATGAAACACCCTACCCTGCCATGTTTTGAGTTACTTTCTTAAGAGAGATATCCAGAAATGTCTTCACTAGGTTAGCCAACAGTTTTTTGAGGTCTAAGACTGTCTTAATCAATACTATATTTTTCCATAATATCAGCACAGGGAGTATCTAATAAAAGCTTAATTGTTCAGTGACTAAACTACTGTATATAGGTCTCTAACAAAGAACAGTGTTTACACTGACCACGTTCTATAAATTACACATACAGTTAAAAAAACTATCATGGCTAGAGAATATACTGGAATTCTAGCTTTGTTCATTAATTTCTACTAAATTCCAAATGGGTTCTTCAATTTGCAAACCGACCCTTACCTGCAACAGAAGCAAAGGTAAATTTTCAGGGGTGTACTCTCTTCGTAGGCAGCTCTCTAGCTCCCTCTGCAGGACATCGGCCTGAATAACAAGGGGCTTGGCCTCTGCCACCTAAACCCAAAGAACCAGTTTTGAACATTTCAAATCAAGAAACTATAAAATTTCAAATATCACAAAATCAGATGACTCCAAGGAGACAGTAGTTTACTTCTGTCCAGCAGTGAGTTGAGCATTGGGCTATTTTGTTCTCACACACTTTGCCAATACTATCAGCTGTTTGCCAGAATAAACTTTTCTTGCTATGGTTCCAAGCTAGCAAAATTGAATTATGGTACTGAAGTGACCCACCCCATACTCACCTGTAAGGCTGTCTTCAAGGCCAGTTCCCGCTCTCTTCTAAAGTAAGAAATGTCCTTTGGTATTTGAATAGAACTGCAGAAAGATTTGTGCAATAGAAGCTGTAAACAGAGAAGCTGCAGTCGACCAGATTAACCTATAATTCTTCACAACTTCTCATGTCTGAATTAGCATATATTATGCTGGGTTATTGGGGGCATATAACAGCCACACTCTTCTGTGTTGGTCAAGAGCTTTCTTTTGTATATGTGATGTTTGCTAAACCTTTCCCTGGGCCAATTTCTCTCCTCTTCTCCCCCCACACAGTCTTCTCTTCTACATTTGATTTGCCTCACTATTTCCTACTTCAGAGCACAGGGAGACACACAGTGTTTGTATGTATTTCCTACCCCCACCCATGTGTCCCTCTGGTAACATGATCTCACAAGCACTGTGCTTACCAGATCTCCTTCTCACCCTTGTTGACACACATGACTGGCATCTTGCCATTTAAACAACACGTATTATTTTTGTATTCTTTGAGTTATCTGGGAGTGAAGGTGACATGTAAGTATCAAACCGGAAATACCTTAGGAATTATTGTAACCAAACTTGGTGTTTCAGGAAGATTATTGATCTCGAGGACAAACATGTATAGCAGAAGCAGCTGCTGAAGCACCTTGTGGACCCCTTTTCTACCCTTCGTGAGGGAGTTGCTGTCACCAGATGCTGACACAAGGAGCACAGGCTGCAGGTCCCCATAAAGAGATGGGGTCCTGGGCCAGGAAGAAGAGAGCTCTGCCCGCTTGGCTTAACACACACCAGAAAGCCAGGAGTGGTGGAGCCCACCTCTAATCCCAGCATTTAGGGGCCGAGGCAGGAGGACCACAAGTTCAAGGGCCACCTGGATTACATAGAAAGGCTTTGTCTCAAAAAACGAAAACAAACAAAAAAGATGCACCATAGCTTGGCAGCCTTGGAATACCGGGAGACAGCAACCCCAGTGAAGATGTCACTTTCTCAGGATGGGATGTTGCAGACACTGGCAAAGGAGCTCAGGCACGTAGTTCTGGAGAGCATCACAGTAACGCTTACGGTAAAAGTGGTCCTATGAACCTGCCAGTTCCCACAGATAAGTTTTTAAGTACACTGTTAGTTTCAATACTGGGCAGCAAGTGGTTCTGTGAAAAGAATGCTAGGCTGACACACGAGCCTAAGCAACTCATTTAGACAGTTGGGTTATTTCCCCCCTCTGAAATCAGAAATAATCACCTTCCTTAGCTCCCTGCTCGCATTTTGGCTTTGACGAAAAAAAAAAAAAAGCAACAAAAGGTGTCAAGAGTGGAAATATTAATAAATCAGAGATAAATCAGAGGTATAACTTCTCTGCTCACTGCCTGCAGCCTCGTGGAGGTGGAGAAATAGTAACCAACCAGAAAGGGGATCCGCTATGAGACAGGGAGTAAGGGCACAGAGAAAGCTTTTCTCGCCTCTTGACTCCTTATATTCGGCATCCTGTTCTTATTAGTATCACGCTTTTCCCCTCAGTTAAGCAAAAAGTGACTGTTAATGATCCAGAAGAGGCTGGTGAGCATGATACAGATATCAATCCACGAAAAGATTCATCATTTGTTCATCAAATTGTTCGCCTGACATGCATTCATTCACTTATCCTGCGAGAATTTATGAAACGCATTGCAAAGTCTAGGATTTATAGGGGGGTAAAATAAGACAAAGAATGCAAAAGAGGGGGAAATACGATTTTTCAATCAAATGGGAAACGAGAATGCCAAAGTGATTTTCTTGGGTGGATATTTCCATTTTTCTTGCACTCCGGAACCTAGCACAGTACCTAGAAAACAGAAGGTGTTCAGTAAATATTTGTTGGAATTAAGACAGATTCTTCCAAGTGGACCCAGTGTTGTGCTGTTGGAGGACAACAGAAATATGAGTGTCCAGGATTCCCCATCACTGTGGCCTCAGAAAGCCTCTTAATCACAGTGCACAGTGAAAAGCTGCTTGCCTGACACTGACATGTAGGCTGCAATAATAGCAACACTTTAGAAAAGTCATAGAGCAGAATAAAGTATAAGATCTTAATGAGAGATTGGCCAATGCCAAGGAAGAAAGAAGAACACAACAGAAGGAAGAAAGGGCTTAAAACCAGCACATTTGGGGACCAGAGCAGGAAGAAATTCCTGATGGAATTATGTCCTGTTGCAAACAAAATTGCCTATAGCAGCCCTGTGCCAGAAGCTGCTCCTCTCAGTTTTGCAGATTTCTTGTAGAAGTGAAAACCAGAATGCCCAAGATCCATTCCCTATTCCACCATTGGCCAAGTGCAAGACCTAGAAATGCTATTAAATAGCATGAATAAAAATATTTGCAAGTCTAAACAAAATAGTGGCAACATGTGATCTTTGCATGGTATTTACCAGCTTTCAAAATGTTTAAACATGCTTTATCCTATGAGGGAGGATAAGTACACATTTTTTACCTCATTTTTCAAGTAAAGAAATCCAAGTTGAAAAACTTACATGGTTCCATAATCTTTCCATCTCATCACAAAATCCTTAGTCTGCTCCAGCTTTTCAGTCTCTTTAAAGACTTAATAAACTGCTAAGCACTGGTTCTCCACAACGATCTCTGGATTTGAGTACTAATCCACCTGTTTACTGCCTCTTCTGAACTCTCCACATGCCTGACCGTTTACACTGTGCTCACCCAACTTAAAACATCCTCATGTTTGTTGTTGTGTTTGTATATTGTGGTAATAATAAAAACAAAGGGATAGGAAGATCCTGGGCCCATGAGACTCTGCATTTAGGGGCTGATCTGGCTACCCTACTTCTCTAAAGGAGCTTGATGGCTATCCTTGGCAGCATTTACAAAAAAAAAAAAAAAAAGCTCCTAACAGAATAACATTTTGCAGAAATCATTATCAGTTACCTAGCATTATATCAACCTTTTAAATGTCTCATCAAAATCAAGGTCAAACTCATTAAGAGATAATTAGATAAAGTGAAATATCTTCTTATCAATCATGATCTGTATAAAAGCTTTGGAGACTTTAAGATGATAGCAGTTTTGAACACTTAGCAGCATATTCCCACAGTATTCTCTCTTCTTTTTGGCAAGACGTTGCCTCGATCTGCTTTGACAGGTCTAGAATATAAACCCATGGGGCAACAGGCAGGCTGGAAAAAGCAACTGGCCTATGGCAGATCTTGGGATCTGAAGGCAGCAGATCTTGGGAGCTAAGCAGAGTCCGGCCTGGTTGTGGTGTAGCATTTATTTCAGCTTGAGATAACTGTCCAGGTAAAAAGAAGAGAGGGGCTAATGGAGATTATGGGGTGAGAGAAGGAGGTAAAACCCCTGAAGGCCTCATTTTTTCACTGGCACTATTAACCTGTACACTCGATGAGCTGCTCCCCGAAGGACCCCCCGTTCCTCCATCTCAGACTTCAGCTCACTCAGCTGCATGGCCAGTTCTTTCTCCAACAGCTGAGTCCTTTCCGTAGAAGTGATCTTATAAACTTCATCCATGGCTGTCTTTCTGTATCTCTGGAAAAGAAGAGCACAAAGCTTGCAGCCGACTCCCTTGGTGACCCTTACACTATATGTGTGGCTTTATTTTACCCCAAGAAATCACATCGATTGTAGGGGAATGTATGCTTTCATAATTGAAGGAACAGATTAGACTTTGTCGTTTGTGATTTAATTACCGTTTAATAAACATTACAGAAAAAGTAGGTTAGAATCTCCGCTGGCCATGCCTTTATTTGGACCAGTTCACCTTCAAAAATGTTTCTGCTGCAGCTTTGACTATATGAGTTTATAAATGAGAATATGTGCCCCTGACCCACCTCCACGTCTTCCCAGACTGTGGAGATTCCACACTAAATGCTGTGAATGGTGGTTATTGCTAATCTCTGTCACTTCAACGGGAACAAACCTCTGTATCCAGCGAGGATTGCTCAATGATCTTTATTTAAACCATGAACTTCTGGTGCATGGGAAAATATATCAAAGATGGAGAAGCTGGGTGTGGTGGCACACACCTGTAATCCCAGCACTTAGGAGGCTGAGGCAGGAGTATCGCTGTGAGTTCGAGACCAGCCTGGGCTACATAGTGAGTTCCATAGTGAGACCCTGTCTCAAAAAACAAAAACAAAACAAAACAAAAGATGGAGAGCTATTTAACATAAATATGACCTACGCACACTTAGATTTGGAAGGAAATTATACTTATTCATTAGGATGTGTTTTCTTTATTGGAACTGTCTACATGTGATATACTGATTTTACTATTAAAAAAATAGTTGTTAATTTCCAACTCAACCCCATGTGGCTCACAGCCTGTCAAATTCAACATTGTTTGTTAAGTACTTAGCATCAATATTCTAATTGACAATGTAGATTAGGGCTGGAGATTTAGCTCAGTGGCACTGTGCCTGCCTCGCAAGCTTAAGGTCCTGAATTCAATCCCTGGTAGGAGAAAAAAAACAAAAACAAAAACAAAAATCAAACAAAAACAATTAATAGCATAACCCCAAATTCCTGGGACCCTTCATTTATAAGGGATTCAGTAGATGATGTATTTCTGCTGCCTGCACCTGTCCTGGACAAGCAGGAGTAACATCACTCTTAAGGGAGATTTGAAATAGTTAATCCTTTTTCCCTTTGATATTTCTAGATTTTCACCTTTCCTTTCAGAGATGTTTCATTTTCTCAAGTAAGTCTGCTACTATTTCAACAAATAATTTAGCTGTAGATATTTTGTGTAGAGACTTCCTCTGGGAGCCCCTTTATTGTTTTTATAAATATTAAAAATGGAAATGAGCATCCAATGCTGTCTAGATTGTGAGGCTGCTGAGTAATAAATCTGCCATGTTTGGCACACTGCTGGAGATAAATAAAATGCACTGTTAATGTTCCTAGCAAAAGCCAAATGTTGTTATGAAAAATATTTGCTTTTTGGCAGTGTCCTTTCAAGTTGGGCAAACTGTTACACAGCTGCCTTAAGAGCTGCATTCCAACTGCAGTCAAGATCGTCTCCCAGAGGGTAGACCTTCCGCCCTCACTTCCTGGTCAGCTTCAACACTTCACAGCTCAGAAATGAGAACATTTAATCCTGCACTGTTTAGTTTGCCACACTGTCAAGTACAGTGCTCCGAAAACTAACACGAAGAAAGGTTAGTGTTTGACAACTACCCACGGGATAGCCCCAACTCTGCAGAGTCCCTGGGTGCTGTGCACTCAGATCCGGCTCTAAGGAGTCAAACCACTTTCACTTGCGGGCTAGGAAGAGGGCGGTTTGCAGTTACTGAGCACGTACTGTGCAGCAGGCAATCACCGGGACCTCATTTAGTCTCAAAAAAGAGATTCTAAGGAATTTTGTAAGTAGTGCTTTTTAAAAAAAAGTACATTTAATTAACTATTGATTATAAAAATGCTTTTTAGATGTTGAAAAAGGGATAACACCAGGCATGTCCAACCCATGGCCTGTGGGCTACCTGCAGCCCTGGACCACTAGCAATGTGGCCCCATAAGATCCTGTTGACAGTGATTTCTAGCAACACTTTTGATGGCCAGATTGGGAGGTGCGAGAGTGCAGACTGGTAAGCAACAAAGGAATGTTGTGTAGGGAGGCACAGTGCACGCTAACTCCATCTTCTGCACCTGCCACAGTTTATGTTGCCCTCATTTCTAAATATTATAATAAAAATATATATTAACAAAGCTGGTGGCGCACACCTTTAAACCCAGCACTCAGGAGGCTGAGGTAGGAGGGTCGCTGTGAGTTCAAGACCACCTGGGCTACAACAGTGAGTTCCAGGTCAGTCTCAACTACAAAGTGAGACCCTGACTCAAAAAAACAAAAAAGCAATCTCCTAGTTCTTAGGCCACATCTGGATCCACTTCTCCAAGTGGGCAAGTCCCCAGTAAATTTCTCTCTACTTGGTGCAGCCCAGCCATACCAGAAGGTTAAATATCCATGGTTTCAACTCTGACAGAGACACTAAGATTAACTTAAGCAGAATTTGGAGTATATGTAATGGGTGACTTATGTAGGATTACACGGGATAAAAGCAGGCATTTTTAGAATAGCAGAATAATTTTACATTTTGCTAGGAAATGTATAATGTATATTAGAAACTTCATGCTAACTACATTACTAAAAGAGCAGAAATGTCATTTAGAGTTTCCTAAACAAGTGGTACATGTGGGATATGATTTTTAAATCCAAGAAAAGACAGGAAAAGAGGGAGAAACAGGAAAGAAAAAGAAATATGGTAAAAATAAGTTCAAATATATCAGTCATTATAATATATATAATGGATTAAAACTATCTATCAAAAGACACAGCTTCAAGTGGTTTTTTTTCTTAAGGCCCCTAAAATTTGGTGATTAGCCAAGTTTGGTGGAACACGCCTTTAATCCCAGCACTTGGAAGGCTGAAGCAGGAGGATCACTGCGAGTTTAAAGCCAGCCGGACTACATAATGAGGTCAAGCCCAGCCTGAACCATATCGTGAAACCCTGACTCAAAAAAAAAAAAAAAAAAAAAAATTTGGTGAAGTCATATTACCAAAGTAAAACAGTGGTTTTTATTCTAGCAAATACCAGACTTAAAACTGATAAGCACGTGGCCCCATATCTTTACCTCTTTGTAAAGATCTGTAACAATAAATACAAAATGCTCTCTGATCTATAACATTTTTTATGTATGGTCATCTTGGTTATCAAATGTTCTTCCATATTTTAAAATGATTTTTTCCTATTTTACATTACATTAGGAGGGGTACAGTTAAACTATTTTGTTTTGTTTTAGTACTGGGGATCAAACTGGGACCTTGTGCTTGCAAGGCAGGTGGCAGAACCACTGAGCTAAACCCCTGGCCATCACTCTTGGCTTCTTGATGCCATGAGTTGATCAGCCTTTCTCTACCACATTCTTCTACTATGATGTTTTTACCTTTGGGCCAGCCAACTGTGCACCGAAACCTCTGAAATCCTGAGCCAAGATAATCCTTTCTTCTTTAAGCTATGGATGTTGGGTGTTTTGCAACAGTGACAGAAAGTTAATACAAGAACCTAGATGCCTTCCAAGCCTACTCCATCATTCCCTAGGAGATGTTCAGACAGACACATTAAAGTTGCTCTTCCCTGTGGCTGTAGAATACGACCTTTGGAGTAGGGCACTTGAGAAGGGAGTATATCTGGTGAATTAAATAGCTGTCTACTTCTAGTTTTGAGAATTTTTCTTTGTTTTCTGAAAAGGTTATTCCTTTTAAATTTATTTTTTTTAGTACACGTTTGCAGTACGTATTGAATAATTATATCATGGTGAGTTGGCACATAACATAATGCATATCTTCTTCTTTTTTTGTAACAGGGATCCATCTCAGGACATCACACTAGCAAGGCAGGTGGCGGAACCACTGAGCTAAATCCCCAGCCCACTTTCTTTTTGGGGATACCAGGGATCAAACTGCCTTGCGCTTGCGAGGCAGGAGGCAGAACCACTGAGCTAAATCCCTGGCTCAATTCTTTTGTCCCCTACCTTTCCTCTCTTTCCCAGTTCCTTCCAAATCTTGTTCACCTTCCTATTTGTAAAAGCTCTATTTCTATTTTTTCAATTATTTTTCCATCCATTTTCCCTCCTCTCATCTTTTCCCCCCTCAATCCATTTGAAAAAGATCTCCCTACATTTTATTATCTATATTTCATTTTGCTTTTATTTATTTATTTATTTATGTATGTATGTATGTATGCATTTTTTGGTACCACGGATCGAACTGGGGCCCTTGTGCTTGCTAGGCAGGCGACAGAACCACTGAGCTAAATCCCCAGCCCCTATTTTGCTTTTATTTATATTTTAGGGGGGTTCTCATATAAGAGAAACAATGCAATATTTAAGCTTGTATGTCTGATTTATGTCACTTAATACCATGGCCTCAACATCCATCCATTTAGCTACAAATGCCTCAAATTTGTCTTTACAGCAGAGTGGTATTTTATTGTGTATAAATACCACATTTTCTTTATCCATGCATCTGTTGATGGTCATATAGGCTGTTTCCAAGGTTGTGAAGCTATAAATATGGTATGCATGTATCACTCTAATATGATTTCTTTAATTCCTTTGGGAAGATACCTAGAAGGGAATGGCTTGGCCAAATGGAATTTCTAGTTTTTGTTTTTTGAAGAATCTCCAGACTTAGTTCCATAGTGGTTGTACTAGTTTGCATTTCCACCAACAGCACAGAAGGGTTCCTTTTTCCCTGCAGCCTTGCCAGCAGTTGTTGTTATCTGATTTCTTGATGATAGCCATTCTTTCTGGAGCAAGATGGTATCTAGGTGTTGTTTCAATTTGTATCCCTGTAAATGCAGAGCTATTGAGCATTTTTCTGTATTTTTAGGCCACTTCTTCTGTGAAGCATCTGTTTATTTTGGTTGCCTATTTTTTGATTGCGTCTTTTGTTTTTTTTGGGGGGGGCTAGTTTTTTGAGTTCTTTATAAATTCTAGATGTTAGTCCTCAGTCCTAGAAATAAGGGGCA